GTTGTCTGATGATACATGGGCTACTTTTAATTTTTGAGGGAATGCCCTGCCAGGCTCTATCTTTACAAATGAGCCAAATCAAACACTTCCCACTCTCCCATGTGGAAGTGGTTATTCTCTATTGCACCACTTCTAGGTCTGTATCATGTACGAAATCACGGAGGGGCACATAGTTGGGTAATTTTGAGAAACATGAGACCAATCCTTTGGTAAGTGCGATTGACCAGCAGCACTCTACAGTCTCTACCGTGTTCCAGAGCTTGCCAGAGGGAGATCAGAGGTGAGTGCTGCTATGCAATAAAGCACCTTGATCTTTTTAATGCTTATTACACACTTGGAGTAAGCTGCAGGTAGGCCTGTGTGCAAGTGCTGTCCCCAGGGTCCTCCTTGCAAAGCAAGAACCTCAAATCTCTCACTCATTTCTAGTTATTAATAAACAAAACTAAAAGCTCTTACTGGCCCCTATGAAGTAAATACTGGACTCCTCTAAAGTACAGGTGGTTTTAAAAAACATCTCTGCCTAAAAATATAAACTCCCAGAACACCCAGAAATCAGTAAGGTCTCAACCAAGGCCTGCAATCCAGGCCCTTAAGTCTTATTTTAGACTACATTGTAGGGAGGTCAATATCTGGAAATTCATCAGTTCTTGTGAAATTTTCTACTTTGTGGCCCATTAACTTCCTAGAAATATAAAGCCACCAGTCTAAGTGCAGTATCAAAGGCCTTGATGTGAATAGGACCATGGGAAACTCTGTTTAAGCTTCTATATAATTTTACTCACATAAAATATTCTGTCTTGGTTTGCTTTAGAAGGCAGGTCGATATTTCATGCAAAACAACACAAGCTACAGATGCAAAAGGACAGTCTGCAGATAAAAAATATGAACCATAACTTTCAAGGAAACATAACCTGAAGGAAGATCCATGGTGGGAAAATGTCATTACTGCTTTCATGAAAATCTCCTTCAAAAAGTCACAGAGAGGTATAAATGGAGAAAGGAATATTCACACAGGTATTATAACCTGTTCTGCCCAACCATCAACATTGTCACATCTCCAGCTCTACAGAACTTGCAGTTCAGCTTCTGAGGCACATAATTGGCAAATAGAACTCAAGAAATGATAATGCATCATGATCATACCCAGAAAGAAAGTACATTTGTGTCCTAAGTGGTATTCTCAGAAGAATGACATGCAGTCATCCAACAGAGAATGGATCATCTTGTCGGATGTTTTCTTTACTCAGAGATTGGGTAACTGAGAGAGGCATTTTTAAAACTTTCATTCTATTTTCAGTCCCATGAGAAGGGTGAGACAATACAGATGTTATCATTCACACAATCACAATCACAAGCCAATATACAATACACCAGAAGCCCTTCTTGGCCTATCACCTTCTTGTCACACCTTGATGTAGATGCCTTAAAGAGAATAATATAAAATTACCCCTCATGGATCCTACTACAATGAATCTTTTATAGTTCTGTTTCTCTAAAGTATCTACTCTTATTTGGAAGGCCATTTTTGAAACTTTTTTCTAGCTCCATTTCTCTCTCAACAATGTCTGTCCTATTCCATGGCATTTCTAAGTCAGCATTTCTTGTCTCAAAGTTTGCATACAGATGCAAACTATGTGAGCTTTCTGTCAGGCCCTAAGAACTTTCTACAAATCCATTCCCCACATTTCCCTCTCTCTCTTGAACTAAGAAAACTTCCTTGATGGCCTTGTTCATCATTCACGGTGCACAGTGGAGCACATAAGGCACTAGCACTAACAATGCCAGGATAACAATCAATGCATATAAACCTATTTTGTAAAGCTCCTTTAGCCATGGTGCAAAACTCCATCCTTCAGACAAGTCCTATAACCATGATCCATCATTTGTTTTCATTTGATTTGTCAAATCTCTCACTTTTTGAAAGACACTGAATGGTCAGACAAGTTCATACAAGTCAATCCTTCAAAATCCTCATAACCATGGCCACGTGCCAGTAAGACAAATTGATGGTGGCTCTGTTCTCTAAGGTTGCATGTCTGACAGCACCAACATCTGCCATCGTGTCACTAATTGCAATGGAAGCAGCATTGACTTCTTTACTCAGCTAACACCTTATCTGGTATAATTGTTTTAATGCCTCACCTGAGACAAGTTGAGGCAGAAATAAAGTTGATGTAACTTGATTTGCAGGGCTCCAGGATTTGCAATTGCTATTACTCTTTTCCTCATAATGATGGGCAAATCTTTCTTCCTCTATGTTTTCTCTTCATGGCTTTTTAACTTTAGGTGTAATCACAGTTAGTTGTCTGATGATACATGGGCTACTTTTAATTTTTTGAGGGAATGTTTTGTTAGGATCTATTTCCACAAATGAGCCAGTATCCTTTTGGTAGTTGCCTTGGGCACTCATCTAGGCCAGCAATTTCACTCTTAGGGGGTCGTGGTGTAGTACAACTGTACTACAAACTTGAGTTTCTGTACACAGGATGATGGAGAGTAACATTTAATTGTGGATCTCTTAGATACTGAAACTTAGCACAAAATTTTATTGCCAAAGAACTAAGAATTTTAAATTTTTTGAGGTTTAGAAGGTGTTTTAAAAAGATTAAGTGTCCAATGATAGTAACTGGTTATGGGATTAGTCTTGTTGGCAGCCTCATGGTAATATTTGTCACAATTGGGTATTGGCCACTTGTTAGGGCCTTCTGTCAGGCTCTAAGAACTCTTTACAAATCTATTTCCCACATAATCTCACTACTTGCTCAGAGAGAATCTCTTCTCTTATCACATGCAGAGTTCCACAAAGACGCAACTTCTTCTAAGGTCATATGTAGGTCTATTAACCCATAACAATACTGAAACAGAAATGTACCCCCCTCTCCTGCTTTCCACACCAGCATTAATGTGACCCGAAATACACTCCTAAGTGAAGATATATCACTACTTAAACTAAACCTACATACACAGAAGATCAGAAAAGGGGAGGGGGCCACGCAGGAACTGGGGAAAAAAACCCAAGACAAAACCAGATGATCAGTGTAAATAAACGTTTTCAAAGAAACTGACAAGGAGGATATTCTAGTCTTCACTGTCAGCATGGAAATTCATCCCCAAGAACACCTGGAACTCACTGAGGTCTCAAGCTGAAAGTCTGAATTTGAAGTCTTACTCTGGACTACACTGTAAATGGTTGCATTTTTTTGAGCAGTCATCATCTCTCATTGATTTTTTACTATATGGTCTGCTCATCTTACAAAAATAAGCAGCCATAAGTTTAAAGGCCTTATTATAGGTCTCATTCTTAAAATAAATCTTCTGAAAATGTGCAATAGATTCTCTTTTACCTTCTGTTACTTTGTTTCTAGCATATGAAATTTTGTCTTAGTTTGTTGAGGCATTTACTGCAAAAAAAACGTTCACGGTTTCTAATGCATTACAGTCCAGAAAAGGAAAAAAAAGGAACCACAACATCCCAGGAGAGAAAGGCCTGAAAGAAAGCGTAATTACAACTGTGAAGAAGCTCTCCATCAAAATATTCTAGAGAGATATAAGCTTGCTCCTCAAGGCAGAAATCATTTTCCAGCATCCGATCTTTGGATGAATTAAATTTGAACTCTCCCTGAAGTGTATCTGGACTGCAATGTCTGGTGACTCTCCCCTTGAGCAGGAACAACTCTCAAGGCTTGTCACTCCATAAAAAATACCTTGTATATTTAATCCATACAACAAGTAGTAGAGTGAACCTTACCATCAACCTTTATTAAGATGCACTTCTATGAAGCCGTATTTAAAGTAGTTTTAATAACAGTACTGATTCTTTAAGTGATCCAAATTGCTCTTTTGCAACACCTACACATGCATCATCCTTCTAAATGCAGATTTATTGTAAAAAAGTTATATTATAAGAAGACTACCATTGCTTTTCAGTACAGGGAAACTGGTGTCATAGAAAAAAGAATGGCAGAGGCATTGGTGACGGCGATTGATGAAAGAGACGTGGACTCCATGGTTTGCACACATGGAGCCATTTCTTGATTTGCAAAGCTGAGCTTACATACCTTTTCAGCAGTTACAAAAACTAGCACAACTATAACATGTAACTAGGTAACATTGCTTAATCCAAAGCTTTGTACTAACTAGCACAGGTATGTGTTATCTCAGATGAATTCTGCTTACCAAGCACATTGTACCAAGCACACCGCTGACTTCTGCATTCCTTCTTCAAGGTTCTGCTTTCTGCTTTCTGCCTGAGGCCTACTAATGCTAACATAACCACTTCTGTCCTGAGCTGGACAGTGCTCCTAGCTTGGCTTTCTAGATGTATTCCTACACATTGGGACCAGAAATTATATCAAACCATTATTCAGCTAAAACCATATTGACACACCTGTGTACCAATGTCTTTGTCTTAGCAACTGCACAGCATCAAGGTCTAGATGGAAACTGCTCTGCCAGCCTTATAATTTGAATAAATATCTATTTCTAGGACTATCGGCCAAACAAATATCCAGTTTTAGAAGACAGTAACGAAGGAAGCAATGGGAAAGGCGCAACAGTGCAGGAGTCATAGTTTGACATTTATGGCTATGTCAAATAGTAGTAGTAGTAGTAGTTACAAAAGAAGAGTATGTAGCATCTAGAGGCACAGATGTCCAAGTGATCTCATTGGAGAACAAGAAAAGGAAAATGCACAGAAGCCAACAAAGGGAATCTAATACCAGCTTGTGTGAAATAAACATTTACACCAACATTTCAAACTACACAACAACAAAGTCTTCCATCTGTTCTGACTCTATGCTGACAGAATACCTCAGCAGGCTGAGACACCATGAATCAAGGCAATCTACTTTGAAAACAGATATCACTGAAAGACACCTCCCACACAATATCTACTTATGGAGAACAAGGATCCTGAAACAGATCCATGCACAGGACCTTGTCTGCTCAACACACTCACCTGAAGTAACATGAAATGATCTAAGCAGTATAAGCAATATGTAGCTTAGATAAAGAATAAATAATCAGAATCAACACCAAGACACTGTCGTTCTTCCTTAACACATGGGTATTTTGGAAGATAACTCATTCTGCAACCATTAATACAATGCTTACACCTATATTCAAAAACTGCCGTTCACAGGAAGAGCTGTATGGGATATAACTCTGCATAATGTTCTGAGCACTGATGAGGAACAGCAGCAAAATATTCTCGTGCATATAGCAAGAGACCCTCAGGGAAAAGCTCCAAGGATTCACATCTATAGGCCCTGACAAACTTTAAGAATTTTTATGAAATTTGCAATGTGCAAGCAATTTTGCCAACTACGCTTGTAAGAACTATCAAGTTTGTAAAGCTAAAAGAGGAATCATTTTCCAGGAGATACTGGAAAAGCGGACAGAATGAGGAATCATGATGAAGCGATTAATTAATTAGTTATTTAATACAGAGCCAAATATAGCTCCAGGCACAAGCAGCATTATTTCTCCTGGCCCCTCCACCAGTGGTAAAACACCGATTCTTTGGGCTTCTCCTAAGTCGACGAAACAACCTATGCATGACACAGACCACAGTGGAGCAGAAGGGGGAATTGTCCTGGAGGAAGTTGGGACGGAGAAACTCACCGGGACAGAGGCGGAATCCACGGGACGAGCGCCGGCAGGATCGTGGTCCCCGAGCAGCGGCGCGGGCTCGTCGGGCGGCGGCCGGGCCGGGAGGGTGTCGCAGCAGCTGCCGGCCGAGAAGCGCAGCTGGCTCTTGCGCGAGTCGGCCGTGAGCGACACCTCGTGCGAGTAGGACTGGAGGAAGGCGCGCACGCCGTCGATGCCCACGAAGTGCGACACGGGCACGCCGCGCAGGGCGCCGCTGTCCGCCGGCAGCAGCTGCTGGC